TGGTAAGTTGGTTGTTCAATTCGTTTTGCTATGAAAGGCTTTGCGGTCGGGATAAAAGGCGTCTGGGTCTCTTCTTCAATAAGACGTTAAAAGGTAAGACCAAAACTGTCAAAACTTTCAGAAGAGGTGCGCATATGATGGCTTATTGGATTAAGTTCAATACTTTCTCCAACCTAGCTCTCCATGCCAGTGCGAGCCTCTCCGAAGGAGAGGTGAAGCACTGGTCTATACATATTAGATAGGCACTGATGAAAGACAAATGAATAGATGTATGTTGAATGTTCCCAACTTTTCAAATATGCGTTCGCGTAAAGAATTCTATAGCTGAGAACAAGGCTTTTGATGGCAATGTTGATTAGAAACTTTCAGTTCAGAATCAATAAGATTCTAAAGTCTCTTGGAGTGGCGCTCTAATTCAATTCTATTTACCATATATAGCTGATGGAAGCTGGAGAAGAAAAAAGTGCTTACTTTGTGGTGTTTCTTGTGCGGAAAGCACACTTCGAACTGTAGATGCTATAAGCGTGTCATGAACAAGATTAAAACTATATTAAGCGCATGTTAAATATACATATATTAATATATACATATATATATTATATATAATACATATTAAGATCGTCGACATAAGAGTGTACACAACACTCAAGTTCTCAATAGGTAAATAGCTACAATAAAAGTCAAAAACAGTACAGAAAATCAATTCGATGCGCTCCGTCATTACAAGAATAATTAGTAGAAGCGCATCTTTGAGTGCGGCCGTCATTCCTCTATTGTGAAGATTAAAACAGGAAAGAGCAAATAATCTCGACTGACATGGTCTTAGCGCTATTCTGTAAGGTCTAAGTGCCATTATTTAATAGCTCTTTAATGTTATTCGTTCTTCATCATTGTTCGTACTTCAACGTCTACTTGCTTGAAAACACATTTTCTGACCGCTCTATCTATGAGATCATCCACAATTATTTTTGACTTTAACTATCAAGCTATTAATTGCACATTTTTCCTATATAAATGAGTAAAATCTCAACTATGCAGCAGTTTTCGCCTTACCAGCTACAGAGAAGTCAAATGTGCAGCAAGGCAGGATTGAAGTATACAGCTGGCGCCATCGCTATCTTTGTGCTTTTGGTAAGGAAACATCCTCGTTTAGCGAGCATGCTTACACATGTGTTCAGATTGCTCTCTCGTTCGTTATCTTGATAATATTCAAACCCAGTTATGATCGTTCACTTCTCATAAATTTCCAGCCTGGTGATCTCAAGTTGTTAGGAGTAATCGCGGTTTGTTTGCATGACAGTGGGCATTACTTTGAGATTGCTCGCAACAAGAGAGTTTTAGATTTTTCGGCATGGTGCTCGAGCTCCAGTGGATTATCTCGACACTGACTTGTCGGAAGGTTTTCCGAATGGCAAAGGCGAGCTATCAGACGTGAGCGATATTTCTGACATGCGTAAAACAAGCAGCTTCAATACTCTTAGCATTGCTTCACGACCTCTCACGCGTTTGCATTGATGCTCTAGCCTTTACTAGCAAGGAAAGTTTGGAGCAGGTCATGTTCACTAGGCGCATGCTTGACCATTACTATCTGCTTGGACAGGCACCGCATTGGCCAACAGAAATCTGGACTGTTAGCAATTCGGATCAACATTACATGAATCACTTGTTGACTCCAAGCTGATTTAGAAGTCAGCTGTTGTGGTCATCTGATAA